TTCACTTGTATCCAAAACACATGGTCCTTCCAAGAGTCGAGTCAGGCAGACCTCTCAATTAGTGATGAACTTGGAAGCTGAGAGGACTGTACATCCTTAGGATTCTTGTACATGAGACAACAGGTATTACATGTTCAAAGGAAACACAGCTAGAGGATTTCAGGTTTATTCATTGCTGAAGAATAAAGATGCCTCAAATTAGCATCATTACAGAGGAGTGTTACTGATAAGAATAACAACTAGCAAACTATTAAAAGGTAATATCGTAACCCAATTTTTTTTTACATCTTTTTCATTTGCATATTTGAATAGCAATGTTGGAACACTACAATCGCCAAAACATGATTACTGCAATATAGTTTAATAGCAAGTAAATAACAAATTGCATAGAAACCACCATGAAGATTCCTTTGAAGCAAGTAACGACAGATCAATTTTAATACATAAACCCAAACAAAAAATTTGTATTCAAATTCATGATTCTTTTTCTTTACTTCATGAAAGCTGGAAATCTGACCTCCTGGCTACCAGCCCAGCTTTGAAAATAATTTTATGTAATCTGAAAATCTACAAATATGTGCAAACACTTAACTGTTCCTTCTGAAACTTTAAAAGAGTTCTTCATTTACATTTACAGTACATGTACACCTTTGATCCTAGGTTGATGACAAAATGAAGATCAGTCATAGCATTTGGTATATTTCTGCATGTCTACATCTAACAATACATCACAAAACTCCGGGGGAATTTTGGCACACGGGAGAAAGGAAGACGAGAACTGGAAACTAGTAAATACTGTCTGGGAACAGATGTTTATAAGCAGCAACCTAAACGATCACAAGACTGCAGAGTTGAACAAAGTATTGGATACGACATACAGAATACAGGAGGAAGCATGCATTGCTAATCATAGATACACAAAAAGTGACAATACATTTGGCACTGCCATTGACTGGCTGGTGCAGAGAGTGGGAAACTTGTAGGGAAAATTTTACATATCTTAAAGGGCTTGCTTACAGTTCTTCTACATGGTCACACTTTGGATCAGGGCTGAAGTGTGGAGTTGGAGCACAATGCAAAGTTACAGCCACTACTGCTTAGGATGTGAATGCAATGACTGAGTCAGTAACTGCTTTAGAAACCAGAACATTTGCAATTTGGTTAAATTTTACAAAACTCTTGTTTAGAATTTTTATAATGGTTAATGGTTAAAAGCAAGATAAATGTGCTAGACATCTAAGGTCATAGAATTTTTATAAAATACTAAAGAGGTAATCATCGATTACTATCCCTAATAAAGGTATAATATTTACGTTCCAAATCTGTAGCGTCGGGTTTGAGGAATGCTTTCGGTGCCATGCTCTGAAACTGATCATGTAAACAAGCCCTAAGACAACGACTAAAGAGCTTCCATTAATAAACCAAAGGTTTTCCCACCTCTTCATTGTCTAATATTTACCATATACAAGAAATAAATACACCTACTTGTCTAGTCTTGATGTTCTTTACCGGTTGATGATAAAAGCATTGTCACATTAGTATGCTTTAGACTTCTTCCAACTATTTTGCTATCAATTACTGGCAAACCCAACACCTATACACTTATCTCATACTGGCATTAATAAAGCCAATAAATTATTGGGTTCAAATCAAGACTGTCAGCCTTTCAGTGTATGTATAAATGTATATACATGTTAATACACATGCTCATATTGTCTGAAAATGTTGGATATACTTCATAAGAAGAAATACGATGAAAAATAATAATAAAAAATGACACTTGGAGATTGTATTGCAATTAAAATGACATATGCCCAAAATCTTAATGAAATATGCATTTCTCAAATCAATGCCTTTCTATTTCACCTTAGTGAATTATTTTTAGGCAGGGCAACTTTGATGAACATTTTTGTTGGTACACTTTTTTTTTTTAAAGCTTGTAAAAAGAAGTGACTGCAAACGATATTTACAAAGCCACTAATCCAGAAACTAGTTATATTTATAATCCATGTGACTGTAAAATCTCAAAAAATTATCAATATTATACACCTCTATTTATATATTTCTATTATTTTCTATGTTAGTATAAAATTCTTAAATGCTTAATCACTGGTTAACAATTGGAATATTTTGATAAACACATTTTTGTACAGTGATAATTTTCCTGCTCTTTTGAGAAAAGAAATTTCATTCATTTGTCTGTAAATCTGAAAGCATAGTGACGAATTTTTATAATTTTAGTACAACGCAGATGCTGAAATGTGGAAATCCTACATAGGCAATGACAATCATGATGGAAATTATCCGTAGCTACAACTATGGTTCATAACTATTAAACCTGGTCCATAAACTCATTCACTTGTCATAGGGGCAAATGTAACAATATATATTCTTGCAGTGTGGCAGTGAAATGACTAGAAAAATAATTTCACATGTAACTATGTTTAATCCTTTATAGCATGAAGACCTAACTACTGTGTTTCTACTTATGGTTAAGTTGTATTTCCTCTACAACTTTTCTTTATCATAAAATAGAGTATGAATATTAATGAAGTCTTGAGTGGATACAATTATTACATGCTTCCATTAGGGCGAACAATATTCGCTGTTTATTCCTATACTGACGTGGTAAACTGCATCCTTACTCTGGAATGCCATAGGTTGTAACACACAGCAGTTTGTATGTCATAAATGGGGATTTGATGCTTCATGGTACAAAAAACTTTTCTTCTTCGTCTTCGTCTTCGTCTTCGTCTTCTTCCCATTTTCCAATAAATGTTGCTGTACTGTCTGACACTTGCCACCTTTCTTGGTATCTTATAAAAGGAAATACTGATATCCATCTAAAGCAACTGCTCCTCAGTCTCAGAACTCAAAATAATCACTTTTTTAAATATCATAATACTGCAAATATGCACACAATAGTCTTTTACTTCTTCTTTTGCAAATGTCTGCAATGGCCCATCTCTTATAATTTTATAATTGGGAGGAATAATACTTTAGACCAATAAAATCTTATGATACTGCAGGTAAGAAATTCAGTGCATACATCTAGTATAATAAGTATATCCAATACCTTAATACTTGGTTGACGTATAACAAAAAACACTTAAACAAATAAAAGATTTTTTACAAATTCTTTCTATATACATATATAACAATTTGACTTCTGATTTTAAGAGGGAAAAAAAAAAAAAAAGTCTACTCTAATATCAATCCACGTTTATCCTATAATCCAACCAAGAGCAGTTGTGAACATCTCTCTCTAAACTTTTTTTCCCTATCATTTCATTTTCTTAAACAAAACAAGCATTTTGACACAAAACCTGATGACTATGTGTTCTTCATATATTAAGAAATTCTAGTTATGTTATGTTTTATCATAATTACATCTTTCCATACTCAACCATGGTTATTATGTAAAAACAATATATATATATATTTAGTTCAATACATGTAGTAGTGTAAACACAAAGTTATCAACAAGAGTCTTAAATCACTTAAAATTCATTGTGGAACAGTATACTTCTGAGATATAATAATGATCAGTTGCATATTAAAAAGATGTATATCATTCAATCAGTAAAAGTTCACACAGTTTCCATGTCAATTTTGTTCATATGCAATCACTTTCCAAAATGTAACATCAAAATAATATTTCAGTACAACTCCCTACCTATATTTCTTTTCTTAAATATAACAATCAATCAGCCAGTCTGTGTATCTGTTAATTCTATAATCTTTCTACTGCATATCCTGAATAAACAATCTCATTATGAAAAACATATTGAAATTTTTTCACAATGTTGGGTTTCTAATCACTATAAAGATTTTATTTCTTTTTCCAACTTTTATGATCACATATCAGGTTAAAATGATGTTCCAGGTAAATTCTTATGCTCTTTCACTCACACACACACACACACAGCCACTTACATACTCATACTAACTCAGAAACACACACTTTCTCACTTGCTCCATACTCACTGACACACGTGCACATATGAAAGGTTCTTCAGTTGTCCAGACAGAAATCCAGTTGAAAGGTTAGACCAATCTTGGAAAACAGCAGCAGTCTGGAAAGTACTTGAGAAACATGTCCAAAAACATCTATGTCTCTCCATCTTCCCTTTTTTTCTCACAGTAAACAAAATTCTTAAATACTGGTCTATAAAATTTTATCAAATATTATCCTGATATAAGCATTTATCATGCCACTTCTGAACACATTTTTCCTGCAGGATTTCATATTTAAAGACCACATAAATTCAAAAATTAAAAAAAAAGTTTTCCAAGAAAATATTAAAGTGCTAAAAAAAAAGGCTAAAACACACATATCACTTTCAGAGTAAAATATATATATATATATTAAAGTGGATAGAGAATAGAGTTAATAAGACCACATTACACACAAATATAACATTATATAAATACATGTTTTGTCAAAAGTTAACAATGACCAAAACAAATAAATATTTGTACAAGGAAGCAACACAGCCCTCAAGAATTATTCATTACAATGCTGACTCAGTAACTTAACCATAACTAGATAGTTTATACTGACTTATGAGGAAAAAAGACAACAAGCATAGAGAGAAAGGGCCTAAAATGTCATTTTTCTAATACTTGGACTCAGTGAATTTATTTCACTAGTCAGCCTGCTACCCAACGGGGGAAACATTGGATTCCACGAGGTAAACAATGAATACATTTCTGAAATCATGAGTATCACCACTTCACAAAATCTTTCTCAATCCCCTGTAACTTCTCTGTTAGCCACTAAACTTGTAGAGGTCATAAACTATAACAAATGTAGAAATGAAGTCTATTACCAAATGTTTTGATGATTCTATGACATCAGATGAGTAAATCCTTGACTGATTTGGAAAATAAATTATAACATAATAGCAAATTGATCTAATTCCTTCCATGACATTTATAAAAGCTTCTTGGGCAAAGAAGTTTTCTTGTTCCCTCAATTTTTACATTACTTCAAATTTCCATTTTCTAATACTTGGACTCAGTGAATTTATTTCACTAGTCAGCCTGCTACCCAACGGGGGAAACATTGGATTCCACGAGGTAAACAATGAATACATTTCTGAAATCATGAGTATCACCACTTCACAAAATCTTTCTCAATCCCCTGTAACTTCTCTGTTAGCCACTAAACTTGTAGAGGTCATAAACTATAACAAATGTAGAAATGAAGTCTATTACCAAATGTTTTGATGATTCTATGACATCAGATGAGTAAATCCTTGACTGATTTGGAAAATAAATTATAACATAATAGCAAATTGATCTAATTCCTTCCATGACATTTATAAAAGCTTCTTGGGCAAAGAAGTTTTCTTGTTCCCTCAATTTTTACATTACATTCAAATTTCCATTTCTTATTTTTCATGTATAATCACACTAACATATAAAAGCACAAATTAAATGCAATGTATAACATCTCGTTGTAATGGAAAAGCTTCATTGGTCAAGGTGAGGAAATACGTAATGGAACTCTAATGACAAAAATGCTGAATTAAATAACAATTATAACAAAAATAAGATATATCAATATCACTCAAACATAATGGTTATGTAAAATTTACATATAAATGTAATATTCCTTACATACTTCTTGTTGTTTTATGTAAATACCTGATGCTCAAATAAACTAACACATGACAAATTGCAACAATTCAAGAGCAGTAATTTGTGGAAAAATTGTGGCACTTCAGAGAGCTCGTAATAAAACTGAAGAGAAATGTAAGATCATGCTGTAATCACTAAATAACCCTGAACATTATTGTCAATACATCATCCAATGGTTTATAGTGAAGCCACCTTTGATTACTGCATCACAGAAGTAATAAAATCCAGTAGGCTACATCATAAACAGTGGTTCTCTACAGAATTCCCTTCAATCTTTCTCACCTTTCAAAGAAAAAGAACCTTTAAATCACTGTGAAAACTTGAGGAACTGGAGATGGCTGAATACCTTTACAATCAAGTTTCTGGAATGGGATGTGGGTACTCTTGGCTGTCCTTGAAATCCATAACCAGTTTCCTATAGTTTGCTTAACCTTTGAGGACATGAGAAGGATTCAGTCAAGTTTTTCCTATTTCCTGCATTATGCTAGGTTCTATATATTTTACATGATAAAATCTACTTAATTTCTGTCATAATACAGCATGAGTTGGGTGATAAACTTATTTTGTTAGCATAATGAAATGAAATTCAAATATATCTCTTATCCATATAGTATTAACTGTGGTCTAGTCTTTATGACTGCAAAACATCATTAGCTATTGCTTTGCTTTAATACAAATATACTTGCCTTTTCAGACTTAGGAATTGCTGTGGATGAACCGTGAAGTGGAATACTGAGAAACACTGGTTTGATGTAGCTAACTCCTAATATCAACTTCAAATTAATCACATATCAACACCGTTATTTCACAAAACCAAAGATGATATCCATTTACAGTAAACATTATTTCTATTCATCATAATATTTGTGTGTTTGCATGTGCAATAAGCACCACTGCTTCTGAGTAAAGTGTAACTCCCAGCTCGAATTCTAATATTCCTGATAATCAATACTTGATTTACTAAGTATACTGTAATGTTCTAAAAAATTATACAAAGTATCCATGACAATTCTCTAAACAAAAATAAAGGTGTCAAGGAATAAACAAAAATATCATGCTCCCCTACCAGAACAAGAATACTAGTCCTAGCAGCGTATGGCACTCTGCTCTTCCACCCTTCATGGCTAGCAGAAAAGTTAGCAACTCTCCTGAGCAAAAGCTGGCACCTGCACCCACCTGTCTCACAGCATATAGAAAACCCCCAAAGCCAGTATCGAAAAGTGTCACCTGAGGAATAATAATACTTGACTTTTGGCCCACCCAACAATCACATCAACCAACCTGCACTGGGAGCAGACCCATCCTACAAGCTAGAGCACTCAGGCAGAGATGCATCACATGTCTCAGGTGCCTTGCCTTCGACTCCCCCCACTATCCCCATGGCTGAGGAGGTGCTGTCAGATGCTGGAGGAAGGATCAAGTAGGTGAGGACAGCATAGTAATGAATGAAGGCTGCTAGGACCACAAAGAGATGCCATATGGCATGTGCCAGAGGGATGCGGCCATCCAGCTTAAAGAAGATCACGCCCAGGACGTAGATGGCCCCCCCCAGCTTGAGCTCTTCTAGGCCAGAAGCATCTTC